GGGAGACTAGTATAGATCTATTTCAAGCTATAATATAATATAACTGCCTAATAAGTAATACTGCCCAGGTTCGATTCCCAGTAAGGGTATGGCTAGCTGATGAGAGCTAAATAGCTTGAAATAGATCTATACTAGTCTCCCTTTATTTATTTATCAGCACAATTGCAACACGCACATACGTATGTATGTATGTATGTGTATATATGTATATAATAGAAGAGGATAGAAAAGAATATTTGTGGCTCAGAGTTGAGCCGTGGGGGTTTCTTGTTTCTCTGTGCATTGCGGGGTTTTGTTGCAAATGTTTTATTAGAAAAGGTTTGGGGTTTGTAGAGAAAAAAGGAGAAGGATTTTGGAGTCCTTGTTGCTCTCTGAGATTGGTGGTTGTCTTGTGGACGTTTCACGACCCAACTAGGTAACATCATCAGTGTTAGGAGGAGGAGGACGACGACAACTGTAGAATGCTTGGTGTTCTTAGAGATTGGTTATTTTCTTTTAGACGTTTCATTACCCAACTAGGTAACTTCAACAGTGCTAGAAGGGAGTTGGATTGGTAGAGAAGGAAAAAGGGGGGGGGAGGAGAACGACGGCGGGGTCCCTAGTGGTCTCTGAACTTGGTGGTTTTCTTGCAGATGTTTTATTACCCAACTAGGTAACATCATCAGTGTTAGGAGGAGGAGGAGGACGACGACTGTGGGGGTCCTTGGTGCTCTCTGAGCTTGGTGGTTTTCTTGCAGACGTTTCATTACCCAACTAGGTAACTTCATCAGTGCTAGAAGGGAGTGGGATTGATAGAGAAGGCGAAAGGGGGAAGGAGGAGGAGGAAGATGACTGTGAGGTCCTTGGTCCTCTCTGAGCCTGGTTATTTTCTTGCAGACGTTCCATTACCCAACTAGGCAACTTCATCAGTGCTAGAAGGGAGGGGGGGTTGTTTATATATAAGTAGCTTGTCCTGTCAATGATGCTGCCTGGGGAATTGTGGGAGTTGAAGTCCACCCATGTTAACATGCCCTAGGTTGAGAAACACTGGGTTAAACCATTCAGGGGTTTGGAGCCAGAGAGAAACTGGGTGGGATTCCCAAACCGGTTGAAGCCGTCATCCCGTATTTCTGTTGGGACAAAAAAAAATTCATGACATCACCGGATCCTTTTCCCTTCTCTGGTTTTAAGCCGGTGTGGCCACTGGGTAACCAGCTGTGCTGAACCGCAACTCCCTTTGCTTACCAGCGTGTTGTCTAGCACATCTGGAAGACTATCCAGCTGTTTGGGAGGCTGTGGATTCCCAAACTACTTCTGGTGAATAAATTTGTTGTTGCTATGGAGCAGAGCACGCCAGCCCCCCCCCCCCCCTTCACTGATCCTCCACTGATCCTCTTGGAGTTATTATATTATTTTAGTTTATTAGTTTACTAGTTTATTAGTTTTGGTTTATTAGTTTAGTTATTGGTTTATTAGTTATTAGTTTAGTTTATTCGTTTACTAGTTTCAGTTTATTAGTTTAGTTATTAGTTTATTAGTAGTTTATTGTTTGTTCATTAGTTTAGTTTATTAGTTTAGTTTGGATTATTAATTTAGTTTAGTTTAATTTATTAGTTCATTAGTTGTAGTTTATCAGTTATTAGTTTAGTTTATTAGTTATTTGTTTATTAATTAAGTTTATTAGTTATTCTACTAGTTTTAGTTTATTAGTTTACTTATTAGTTTATTAGTTTGGTTTATTGTTTATTTGTTAATTAGTTTAGATTATTAATTTAGTTTATTAGTATTAGTTTATTAGTTGTTTATTAGTTTATTAATTTAGTTTATTAGTTTAATTTATTAGTTTATTAGTTTTAGTTTATCACTTATTAGCTTAGTTTATTAGTTATTTGTTTATTAATTTAGTTTATTAGTTATTAGTTTACTAGTTATTGTTTGTTCATTAGTTTACTTTATTAGTTTAGTTTAGATTATTAATTTAGTTTATTAGTTTAATTTATTAGTTATTAGTTTAGTTTATTAGTTATTAGTTTATTAATTTAGTTTATTAGTTATTAGTTTATTAATTTAGTTTATTAGTTATTAGTTTACTAGTTTTAGTTTATTATTTTTAGTTATTAGTTTATTAGTTTAGTTTATTGTTTATTTGTTCATTAGTTTAGTTCATTAGTTTAGTTTAGATTATTAATTTAGTTTATTAGTATTAGTTTATTAGTTTAGTTTATTAGTTTATTAATTTAGTTTATTTTAGGAAATGTATATTGCCGCCTATTCGCACATGGTGATTCAAGGCAGCTCACAAGAATATAAAAACCCCATATAAAAAAACCATAAAACCATAAAACTAAAACTATTACAATAAGATAATCAAATAATACATTAATAAAATAATGTAATAGCCCCCCGCCCTGGCGAAAACACATCATATGAGCCATTTAATGGGCTCCTCCCTGCTCTGCGTTCCCCAGGCCCTCTGGCAGAATCAGGTCTTCAGCCCCTTCCTGAAGAGTGTTAGAGTGGGGACTCTAATCTTGGGGGGGGGGTGATGTTCCAGAGGGAGGGAGCCACCACAGAGAAGGCCCTTCTTCTGGGTCCCACCAGGTGTATCTCCCTAGGGCAGGGGTGTTAAACTCCAGGCCCGCGGGCTGGATGTGGTCAGAGACGTTCTGGATCGACATTGTTCAGAGATCCCAGAATCTGTGTAGAATTTTGGGGACCTGTCTTCACCACCTGCGTCTTCCATTCTTGTTTCCGTTCTGCAGGTGCGTTTCCGAGATGTCTTCCTTGGTTTGGTTCCACCTGCTGCTAGTTTTGCCCTGTTTCGGCACCTCCTCAAGGACTTGCTTCCCGAGATGCCACTGCGAAGTGGAGACCTTCGGCCTCTTCGACAGCTTCAGCCTGACCAAAGTGGACTGCAGCGGGATCGGGCCCCACCTCGTGCCTGTCCCCATTCCCTTGGACACCACCTACTTGGACTTATCTTCCAACCGCCTGGAAGCCGTCAACCAGTCCATGTTAACTGGGCCCGGTTACACCACTCTCGTAGGCCTCGACTTGAGCGACAATAAAATCTCCACGGTGGACCCCACCACTTTCTCGAGACTCCGGTATCTGGAGTCTTTGGACCTGAGCCATAACTCTTTGGGGGTCATCCCCGAGGACTGTTTCTCCCAGTCCCCTCTGGGAGAAGTGGACCTCAGCAACAACGTTCTCTTGGAGGTCACCTTGAACGTCTTCGCCTTCAAAGGTCAAGGGAAACCCATCAATGTTGACCTTTCCAACAACTTGATCAGCCGGGTGTCCAGAGTCTCGGATAAACCCGTCCCTAACATTCAAAGCTTAAATCTCTCGGGGAACCGATTAACCAGCATTCCGGATCTTCAAGGGATCCCCCTTCGTTACTTGAACCTGGACGGAAACCCGGTGTCCACCGTTGAGAAGGACGCCTTCCTGGGCCTGAAAGGGTTAACCCACTTGTCCTTGAGCGGGATTCAACATCTCTTGGACATTTCGCCTTTTGGCTTCAAGGACTTGTCTGCTCTCCAAGTGCTGGACCTATCCAACAATCCCAACATGAAGTTCTTGAACCCCAAGGTGTTCTACAGCCTGAGCTCTTTGCAAGAACTCAACCTGACGGGGACGGGGACCACGTTCTCCAAACCCATGTTGAGATACTTGCCTTCCATCAAGAGTGTGGCCTTGGCCAAGGACATCCAGTGTCTCAAGACCATCCAGGAAGGCCACTACCACCGAGAAGCCGGACCGAGCAAGAAAGAGGTCTTGCGATGTCACAGTAGCCACGGATCCGTGGCACCGTACGTGTTGTGACCAAGGACCGAGCCTCCGCACGATGAGACTTTCTTTAAAAACAAAAACAAAAAAACAGCCACGAATGTGCCTTCCGTACAAACATTTAATTTATACCTCCTATTTTTTGTATATCTCAACTCTGCGTTACAATAATGGATGGGTCAGAGCGCTTGTGAGTCTCGTTTATTTCAGCGGTCCCCCCAATTTTCCAGTTCTGTGGACTGCCGGCTGCACGGCGGTGAGGGAGAGGAGGAAAGGGATGGTTTCACGTGCAGGCCTGCCACTTGTGCAAATAGTTTAGTGTGCTTGCATGCTTGCCCACAGTGTGCACAGCCAGGTTTCCAATGAGCCATGGACCGCTACTGGTTTGCAGAATTAAGAGTATAATAGAATAGAAATTAGAATACAATACAATACAATACAATACAGTAGCAGAGTTGGAAGGGATCTTGGAGGTCTTCTAGTCCAACCCCCTGCCTAGGCAGGAAACCCTATACCGTTCCAGACAAATGGCTATCCAACATCTTCGTAGAGACTTCCAGTGTTGGGCCATTCACATTTCTGGAGGCAATTTCTGTCCCACTGATTCATTGTTCTCACTGTCAGGAAATTTCTCCTCAGTTCTAAGTTGCTTCTCTCCTTGATTAGTTTCCACCCATTGCTTCTTGTTTTTCCGTCAGGTGCTTTGGAGAATAGTTTGACTCCCTCTTCTTTGTGGCAACCCCTGAGATATTGGAAGGCTGCTATCCTGTCTCCCCTAGTCCTTCTTTTCATTAAACTAGACATACCCAGTTCCTGCAACCGTTCGTAATATGTATATTTTAGCCTCCAGTCCCTTAAATCATTTTTGTTGCTCTTCTCTGCACTCTTTCTAGAGTCTCCACATCTTTTCTACATCATAGCGACCAAAACAGGGCAGGGGAATTCTGGTAGTTGAAGTCCATGCCTCTGAAAGTTGCTAAGGCGTAACACTGTTGTAACACACACATCCACAATCCATTCAATCCTATGAGCTGGTAATAGGCCAGAGTATATACCTTGTTTGGCCACAAGAGAGAAGCAGTTTACCACAACTTTCCGGTGAAATTGTCCTTGTTTCTCCATAAATTTCTTCAGGTTTTCTCCAGTTCTGTGATTTCCTGGTGGTCTTCCATCCTCACACTAACTGAGTCTCTCCCTATATTACTTGGAAAACTCATGGGTTGTCTATAAGATGGATTTGTGTTCCTCAACTGAAGGTTTTACACAAAGGCGTGAGGTGAGAGGCAGAGTACCCATACCTTAAATGTGAAAAATCTCCTCTTCCTCTTTAAAAACAGCTCTATATGTGCGCGCGCATGTGTGTGTGTGTTCCAGCGTAACTCTGGAACGCCTCGAGCAATTTCAACCAAACTTGGTACACAGATGACTTACCTTCTGGAAACAAATATTGTGGAGGCAAGACACCCCTAACACCCTTCGGGGGTGGCGGTGTGTTCTGTTAAGATACAGCCTGTTGTGCCTTGAAATGGTTTCTACCGTACTACTGTAAAATGGCTTCTAGCGTACAGCGCTGTGGAATTGCCATGGTAACAGCTTCACAGTACTCCACAAGGGGGCTCCCTCTAGCAAGGGAGAAAACCCAACATTAGAAATTGCGGAAATTGTTCACGGAAGGAGGGTTGGGTTGGGTCAGGGGTCAGCAAACTTAAAAGAGCCACAAAGGTCCTAATCGGAAGACACACACACCCCCCAATTCAATTCTGGAGCTGACCGGAAGTCTGGTTCCCCCACCACAGAGTCTTCTCCTAGCATAGCGCCCTTTACCTGTCCTAATTGAAATCAATTGTGAAGCCGGCTGACAAAAGGGAGCCACAGCAGGCGGATGAAAGAGCCACATGCGGCTCCCAGAGCTACAGATTGCTGACCCCTGGGTTGGGCTAAATAAGTAAACTGGCCAGCGCGGGGTTATCAGCTAGTTCATTTATAAATGCAAAGTAAAAAGCTTCCGTTGCGTTGAGTTTGATCCTTGGAGATCTCCCAGGAAGCGTTTTTGTAAAGGATAGGGAGGAATTCCCACTGTTTTTTTCTAGTTTTTTTTAAACGTTTCCTGGTGGTCTCTTTTCCAGTAGTACCAACTGATCTTCTTAGCTTCTGAACCAAGACCCGTTAGCCAGGTGCCGTCAATGCAAAAAGATGGCACTTGAATGTTACGTTTGCAAGTACGGTACTCCTCGACTTACAAGCACAACTGAGCCCAGCATGGCTAAACCAGGTAGTTACGAAGTGAGTTTTGCTCCATTTTTACGACCGCTCTTGCCAGAAGCGAATCCTGCAGTCGTTTTAAGTTAGCAACACAACTATTAGGTGATTTTGGCTTCCCCAGTCGCAAAAGGGGATCACGACACACACACGGGACATTGCGACCCTCATAAATATGAAGCAGTTGCCAAGTATACGAATTTTGATCATGTGATCATGGGGATGCTGCAACGGTCATAAGTGTGAAAAAACGGTCATACGTTTCCCCCCCCATGTCATAACTTTGAACCGTCACTAAACAAGCGGTTGTAAACCAAGGACTACCCACGTTTCCTTATAAATACCTCTGGCTTTTAAAGTTTTTAATCCTCCAATCTATTCCGACCCTTTTCCCGCCAATTGTGCAAGCAAAGCTTTTCGCTCACACGCAAACATGCAATTTTTGGCAACGTGAAACTCGGAATCCTGGTGATTCCTTGAACCCTAGCGAGTCCTCGACTTACAACGGTTCATTTAGCAGCTGTCTGAAGTTACGACGGCACTGAAAAAACGTAACGCGCGGCCTTTTTTCACAGTTGCAACCTTCGCCGCATTCCCCACAATCGTGCGATCACAATTCAGAGGCTTGGCAACTGGCATGTACTTGTGCCTGTCGCAGTCTTCCGGGGGTGATCGTTTGACACCCCCCCACCCCGTTTCCCACGAGCAAAGTCAAGGGGGAAGCCCGATTCACTTAATTAATTTTGATCAAACACAGTGATTCACTTAACAACGGTAGCAGGGAAGGTCGTTTAAATGGGGCAAAACTCACTGAACAGGTCAGGGGTGAAATGATACCGGTTTGCCCTACCCAGTAGTAAAAATGCTTACTCGTTCGTCCGACCGGTAGTAAAACAAATGTTTTTCCAACGATCCGCTGTGACGCACGATTTATATTCGATAGAAAGCAAGGTTTCCTGCTTTCTAGCTAATCTAAATTGCGTGGCACAGCGAATTCCCCCCCCACACTTCGCTGTTAGTTTACTTTCGCAGGCGCTCCCTTTGCATGCGCAGAAGGTCATGTGAATGCACAGAAAGAAGTGGCGTGCGCGAATGCACGCGCCCCGCTCACATAGCTACCAAACCGGTTGCAAAGGTAAGTGGATTTAGCAATAGCAATAGCAGTTAGACTTATATACCGCTTCAGCCCTCTCTAAGCAGTTTACAGAGTCAGCATATCGGCCCCAACAACAATCCGGGTCCTCATTTTACCCACCTCGGAAGGATGGAAGGCTGAGTCAACCTTGAGCCGGTGAGATTTGAACCGCCGAACTGCAGATAACAGTCAGCTGAAGTGGCCTGCAGTACTGCACCCTAACCACTGCGCCACCTCGGCTCTTAGATAGATAGATAAGAGAGATAGAGAGAGAGAGAGAGAGAGAGAGAGAGAGAGAGAGAGAGAGATAGCAATAGCAATAGCAATAGCAA